TAAGATAAAACAATTTATGAGTTAAGAAGCCTTCATCTTACCAAGGCAATTATTTACAATATGCCAGGAATATGGGCTCTTGAAGTCACTTGCCTGGAGAAGATGAATCAATATATATATTAATATATATACATATATATATATAAAACAGTGCAGAAACACCTGCCATAAGAACATGATTATGGATGCCAGAGACAATTTTTTGAAGTTGATTCACTAATAGACACACACACATGCACATGTATGCACATATGCACATGTATATACACACTCACACATACCATAGGTTCTGGGGATTGAACTCAAGTAATCAGGCTTGGACAGAAGGCATTTTTCCTTGCTAAGCCATCTCATCAGCCCTCAAATTGTATATTTTTATAGGATGTTCCCACTTAACATTATGTGTCTTTATATGATAGGCTATAACAGAAGAAATATGTTATGAAGGTTATGACAACTTTATGCTTATATTTAAGAAACATTGTAACAGCAATAGGTGACATCAATGCTGGAGCTCATTCACTGACATAACAACTCACTTACATCATTCATACACAAGGGTAAACAGTCAATCCTCAAGCTAAATACAGGTATTGAACTCCATTAAGGTCCATTTGCATGGTTTCTTGAAAACACTTGCCTGGATAAGATAAAACAATTTATGAGTTAAGAAGCCTTCATTTATCCAGGGCAATCATATATAATTTGGGAGAATTGTTTGCCCAAATGTGGAAGTTTGAGGTTAGTTGATTTTCTCCAGTCTTTACAACATCACATTAAAACTCAGAAAATGATACTTAGGATTATTTTACTAAGGGAATATCAATAACTAGTTCTTTATAGGATTTGTGTGTGCACGTGTGTGTGTGTGTGAGCGTGTGTGCATGTGGAGGCCAGAGGACAATGTCAGATGTCATTCACATATCAGACATAGTCTATCTCCTCTGTGTTGAAAGAGCACTTCTCACTAGCTTGAAGCTTGCTTACTGAGTAAGCTAGACTAACTGGACAGTGGGCCACACACTGACTCTGCCTCACCAGCACTGGAACTGCAAGTACATGCTATATCAACTATACATTTTACATGTGTTCCTGGGCTCAGACTCAGGAATTCATGATTCAAATGTAAGATCATCATAGACTGAGCAATCTCCCCAGGCTTCAACCAATTTCAATCTGTAATCTCATTGAATCCTTACAAATCACTATTATCATTACTATTTTCCAGATTACCAATCCAGGAAAGGGTCAGAAAATCAAGAGATTGCATAAATAGGGATAGCTAAATGGGTAGGATTGCTGTGTCTCGTTACATTCTTTGATCCCTGGTGATTGGTAATCAAACAGTGTGGCAAAAAGGGGGGCCACAGCAGTGGAGTCCTGGGGACTTTCCACGTGGCTAGTCCCACATACACGAGAAAGGTCTAGGGTTCCAAAGGCTGGAAGCTTTGGTGACGGCAGGCTCCAATGACACGAGAAAGTCCTTGGTTCCAAAAGGGTTTGTTGTCATGGCAGATGGTAGATGGGTCTGGATGTACCCCCTGAAACTCAGGGCAGACCTGAGTTAAATAGGGAGGGAGAAAGGGGGAAGTTCTGGGAAGAATGCTTAATTTGCTCCTCCCTCTGGCCTTCATTAGTATGTAAATCCCTAGGGCCTGAGGCCTATAGTCACATCCTCTACCTGTGCACTTTGGGAGGGGCTGTAATGGCCTATGTGACTGAACAATGTAGGTCTGGTCTATGGAGAGGAGACTGAGTGTCGGGACTCTGGGTTCTGGGGATGTGGCTGAACACCTGCTGTTTCTCCGTTGGAGTCTCAGTGTTCCAGGCCCATGCCCAACCATGAACCAAGATACCCTTATGCAATCCCACAAAAAAGATGTTGAGAAAGAATTGTATGTTTAGGTCATGACAGAGGAAAAATAGATTCATATTAAAAATTAGAAGATTAATGACTTTTTAGACTATTTGCATTGCTTCATATAAACAAATGATCCTTTTTTTCTATCCACAGACGCTTTAATAGTTAGTACATTAACCCAGGTATGTTTATTGAAATAGGAGTCTGATTCAAAGACTATAGTACCCCACTAAGATAGTAAATGAAGAACCAAAGTGTCATTACTTTTGATAGATATAGCAGAGGCAAATTTTTATTCCTTCTTTTAAAATTTTTTCTGTAGGTTTTCTTTTTAGTTTTTCAGATTTTAAGTACATCATTTTCTCCTTTCTCCTTCCTCCCTCCAACTCCTCCCATGTATCCCCTTTGATGGATATATATATATGCTTATGTGTTTGTGTTAGAGCGTATTCATGAGTTATTGTACAGGCCTTTGCAGCCTGAGCCAGAGGCTTAGCAGACAATGAGCTCATGTGATACTCTGTAGGTTGTGATGAGAAAAAGGAGCTCCCTGCCTGATTTGGAGTCCACTTGAAGTCAGTTATGACTCATGAAGCTTCATTCGCCAAGGCCTTTGCACAATCTGTCTTCCATTCAGGAGAAATAAAATGGCTGCATTCTGAGTGTCAGAATCAATCGCCACACATAGAATGAGTGACACACTAAAGTGAAAGGCAGCCTTCTGGATTTGGTCTACATGGCAGAGATTGTTCCCTGAATGTTTTATGCATTACTTTCATCACCCTGTGTTTTCTATTCCAGGACCCACGCTTCCCAAGACTCATGTTAAAACAGCCTCCCTTGGGCTGGCCGGAAAGGCAAGGTCCCCTTTGCTTCCTGTGTCTGTGCCAACGGCCCCTGAAGTGTCTGAAGAGAGTCACAAGCCAACAGAGGATCCAGCCAGTGTAAGAAGCTTTGATCACAATTACACTATTCGATGGGATCTAAGGCAGTCAGCTCTCATCATTATATGGGGACGTTGTTCTTACAACTTGCTTATGCTTGAATGTGAAGACAAAAAGGATATATACCCATAATTTAAGTTAAAGATGTATTTATACTTAAAGGCAACCTTATATAAAAGAATTTTAACTGATCTATGAATTTATATAATCATATATACATGTTTATATGTACATGTGTGTGTATCTATAAATGTGTGTGCATACACACACACACCCTGTGATTACTATTAAATACCTTGAAATCTTGTATACAAAACTATGTGTTCATTATTTAACTAGTATTTAACTGAAAGCTATATTCTAAGAGATTTTTCACACACACACACATACATACACACACACACACACACACACACAGAGAGAGAGAGAGAGAGAGAGAGAGAGAGATTTCAGAAGAAGATACAAAATGAATAAATGAAAACAGTGTTTGAAAAAAGAACAATTGCAGAGATGAGGGATATTAGGAAGAGAATTATTCAAGCTTAAAGGAAGTGGGGCAAAGGAAGTGAAGGGGTAGGGCAAGCTCTAACCCAAAGGAAGGCTGCCTGGAAACATTATCTGGAAACCTCCAATCTTCCAACCCCAGATAGAAAATCAATAGGCCTGAATAACACAGTCACAGGAAGGGGGCAGTTGTTCAGGTGTTAAGCAGGTAATGGGGACCAGAGGACTGAGGAGTGGAGAAGATAAGGTGACGGTGAGACAAAACTAAGCTTATATGAACAACCATTTGGAATTAACACTGGCATGTAAGCTAACTGAAAGTACATTATGAAAATAAGAAGAAAGGTTCATTAGTAAAGGAAGGGAGAATTTCTTTTCTACAGGGAAAAAGAAAAAACCTCTGCAATAAAACTGTACTATGACATACTGAAATGAGGCTACCTACAGGCAGAGGTCTGGAATGTTGCTGTCCTTCTGAGTAGTGTTTAAGAGGAAACATTTCATAGCACTTTCATAGAATTAACATATCAGATACCTTGACTATCAAGAAACACAAAGGGAAAAACATGAAAAAGAAAGTTTATATTTCTATCTTATTAACTTGATAGGTTTTTTTCAAGCATGGATTGTGGAAGAAAATTTGCTGCTATCAACTAATTTCTGTAACCTCATGCACTGAGCACTACACCAATTTTCCAAATGTTACAATGATAAAACTTTAATAATGCCCAAGGCTAAAAGCAGCAACTATATTCAGTCCTTGATTAGTCTATGAAACTACCGATTTTCTTGCCTAAAATTATTTCCATCAGAAATTTGATTGTCAAAAAGAAAAGATTATTTTATTTAAATAACAAATATATATATTTTCATGACTTTTTAAAACTTTAAACATAACCAAACATTTTGTACCATGAAGTAATATAACAACATAATAACCAAGGAAATCAGTAATGTGTATCTTTTTCTGAATATTCAGCAGAAGGACATTACATGCTTAACACACCTTCTACAAGATTAAAATTTCAAGACACTTACTGCTCTCTTGTCAGAATACAACTATTTATTTCAATATATGTCTAGTCATATGATTTGTGGCCATATCTAAAATTAGGTTAAGATACTAAATTTACAAAGTGCTTCTTATATGAGAAGCTCTGATTCTAATGTCAGATGGCCTGACTTACACTGAAGGTTGACTGGATATAGCCAAAGCAAAGTATAGAGCATTAAAAGCAGTAAGAAATGTACATGAAAGGAAAAGCAGAAACTGGACACATTTAGATCAACAGCTTTCTATAAAGTAATAATGTGACTCCCTGTATAAATTTTAAATTTTTTACAAGCCACATTAAAAGCATAAAAATTAATAAAATTTAATTTAATGCTGTCTTTTGTTTAATCCAATTTTTCCAAAATATTACATCTGGTAAATATAAATGTCAATAAGGTATTTTCCTTCTGTTTTTAGATTATGCATTCAGAATTCAGTATTAATTATATATGAAACACATTTGATTTTAGACTGTTTTTCAAGATTTTAATAGCTGCATTCAGATAAACCACCCAGACCAACAAAACATCAAACCTGAAAATGGTTGACCAAGGACCAGAATGGTAAAGCCAAAGGCAGAGACTGATAAAGCTCTGAGTTTGAGGCCAACCTGGCCCACATTGAGAGTTCAGAGCCATTCTGGAGTACATAGTAAGACACTTTGTTAAAAAGAAAAAGGAGGGAAAAAAGAGAAGAAGAAAAAAAGGAATCATGAAATGATGGTCAGACAAGAGTGACTGACCAAATAATCATTTCCCAATTTCGCTTATTTTATACAAGATAGTGTGTTTAGTCAGTGGGTTATCTTTAATCCTTGGTCAGTTCTTAGTGGTATATGACCAAATGACTCATTAACATGTTCATAACTCTAAAAGACACTCATGGGTTGATGCTATGTGACCATGTATCTTGAATATTCTTCTGTGGATAACAAGTCTTCTGAGGATCCTATAGAACAAATTCTTCTGAAGGTCTCTTGGTATGATGGACATTGACTTAGAATGATTAGAGGGCTCTCTGACCATGATATTAAGTAATGCATATTGGATATATAGAGTACAAATCATGATTTGGAACATTGTTTCAATCATATAACTAATTAAAAGGGATGGTTGAAAATAGTTCAGAATTTCATTCATGCCAATGTTTATAAAATAAAATATAAAAAAACTATAATATTTATAAAAAATATAAAACAAACTATATTTAAGAAAGGGGAAAGGGAGAGAATTATTACTTATTGATTATTTACCAGCATGCAGCGGTATTGGACATATTCCCAATTTGACAAATGGAAGACTAACCAAAAACAGCAAGTATATAAATATTCAAATCGTTTCTTTATTAAATCAAAACTTCTAAGACCAGTAAATGAATATTTTAGATAAGTAGGATAATTAGAAATCCTTGAACTCACAAATAAGATCAAGCAAGGAACTGACAGTAAATCAAATGTGATCCATTCAGTAAGAGTTATAGAAGTAAGCCTCTTAGTTTACACAGAATTTATATCACACTGCAAGCATTCCTTCACACTTTTGCCAAGCACTCTGGCTTTGGACATAAACTTTGTTTCCACTCACAAGCTAAAGTTATAATCTACACATTTCTTATTAGTCAAGAAACCATCAAGTTGCCATGCAAAACGTAAATTCTATGTCATGTTATTAAAAAAAATACTGATGCATGTTGATCTTTAGATGCCTATTTATAGATAGCCTGTCAAAATGCAAAGGAACTACTGTATTAATATGAATCACAGATCAGACATTGTAACATACAGGAAGCATATCACGGGATGCTCAGAATAAACTATAAAATAGGTATCATTATCATTTCACAGACAAGTAAAACTAAACATCATAGAAATTTCTTAACTTGTTCATTACTACAAAGCTAGCCATTGGAAGAATATCACTTAAAATAGTACATTTTTAACAGTGAAGCTTCTTTCCCTATTAAAGGTATAGAATACAGGGAAGCAGTATTCAATAGTTTATTGGTAGGTCATTTTCTATTACTAGTTTATTCAGTTAGAATATTCTGAGAGCTACTCTATCTATTGATCCCTATGTCAAACTCAAGAATCATAAGAGGCCCAACTAACAGCCAGATATTAAGTGGATCCTTCATGGAAGGAGCATACCAAGACATTATCCTGACTCTGTTTTCATTCTCTCTCCAGGTATATGAACAGGATGACTTGAGCGAACAAATGGCAAGTTTGGAAGGGCTAATGAAGCAACTCAATGCCATCACAGGCTCCGCCTTTTGACATGCATTGCCAAAATGTTAAGATCTTCTTGGGAACTTTACAGCATACCAATTATTCATAAGCAGCACACCTGTGTCCAAAAACTCTACCCAGTGTACAGGTCAACCATCCAGACCATTCAGTTAAGGAACAACTGAAGCACTTCAGAAGAAATCAGCATCCCATCCTAAATGGACATCAGGAATTATACAATGATGATCATGAGGTCCTGAAGATGGATCTTCACTGCAAAGTCAAGGCTGAAGCTGCTAGCATAGTTCTGGGTCTTTGTCACTGCAGTGACCATGGTGTCATAACGAATGCCTACATTTTCCTTCAGTAAGACCTTTCATTTTCTATGTAGGTCTAGTCTCACAAGTGCATTATTTTCAGCCTGTATCATGCCATTGCAAACCAATACAAACTCAATTTTTTTTCAACTACTGAGCATCCATGGTAACTCTCTTACTCCATAGCACCAAAGGATTGGATGTTTTCCTGACAGCATAAAAAGTAAATAAGTGAATAAGCAAAAGGCAGTGAATGCTTGTTTATAGTTCAATCATTCCGTCCCACACAAGCGGCAGATGTTAGTGAGTGGGTATAAACTTTCCCCAATTTTAGCAAGTATTTGTTAATCCATCCTTGATTAACGTTTATGTCTAGCTTGTAGAAACTTAAAAAATCCTCAACTGGTGGCATCTTGCCAGCAACAACACCTTTCTAGAAGGAAAATACAATATGCAATCTTCTCAGACACATGGTGATTGTGTACTAGAGCTTGTCATAGGACATTTTTTGATTTCAGTGGCTTCTATGCCATTCCACACTGTGATGGCCTGTCTGAGTTTCACTAAGGCTTCTTCTTCAGGAGTTTGGCCAGAGAAACTCCACCATCCTCCATCCCCAACCATTCCTCTACTTCTCCTGGGCAAGTAGCCTTAGGTAAAATGGCCAACTCCATGTGTCATATATCCTGTGCCCCCAATATCCCTCTGTGGAAATAGTAGATTTCCTGAGAGCAAGCTCAAAAGAAAGAAAAGGAGCATGAAAAAACTTATCCCAGAGCCCCTTTTCATGAGTTGATGTCACTTCCACTGATAGCATCTTCATCGAGCTGTGCCAGACAACATTGACAGATGTTGACCACAGGTTCTGTTGGCAAGGCAACTTTCCATCCCAGGCCTAAGATAGAGTCAGGGAGGAGAGAGGAGTGGATGCCACTTCACATCTACACATCATAACTCCTGTAGGTATTTTTCAACGCAGCATCTTAAACTGTGGACTAGAATTTTAAACTTTTATTGCCATGTATCTACAGCTTGAAACTAGCTGAATATAAGAACATTCTGTGCATTCCCTTTTAGTCCAGGAATTTTCAGCTGTATTTGGAGTTAATCCCTATTTATGCAGCTGAGTCTCCAAAAGGGAACTAGTTTGCATATTTATCAGTTAGGTGACTTGAAAACTCGATGAGAGTTTCAGCTGAATTATTTCTTTCAGCTCTGCCTTTGATTTCAAGCTTGAGTAGGTCATAATTTTAAAAGAGCATGGCAAGGATAGGATCTTTACAACCTAATAGCTCCTTTTATTAGGTGGGTAATTATATATGAATCCCTGAATGAAATATTTTGAGCAAAATGGCACTGTAACAGAAATAATAATTCAGATTATTTTTTTACAGTTTTATGTCGGGAAGGAAATCTGATGTCAAAGAGAGGGCTTGTTCAAATGGTTCATTAGAAAGTCTGGTCCATTTGCAAAATGTTTCCTTCAACAAGAGTGCTTGTTCAGTGTACTCAGATTTACTCAGATTTTCTTTCTGGAAGTACTTTCAAAGAACTATGTGATGTTATTCAATGGGACAGAATGCTTTGGTTTGATATTTGGGCACTGAGGTAGACAACTGTTGACTGACCTGAAATAAAGCATTTCTTAACATAGCAATGAATACTTTAAAAATAATCCACAACTTCAAACTGGAAAATGTTTATTAAACTCCCAGAATACATTCCCTTGTCTAGTATTAAAAAAATAAATAAAATAAAGGAGAAGAAGAGGAAGAAAGAAGAACAAACACTTTTCAGAGTCATTTGATATCCATGAGAGTCAACTCAAGTTTCTGGTTGGGGTGTGCTACAAACCTCAAATTTCAAGTTTCAGGGAATGAGTTATAATGAAAGCTGTTCTGTAAACTCTAGTTGGAGAGTCAAGACAACCAGAAATTTTACAAAACTTGAGGGTTTTTTGATTGGTCAGTGATGTCAGGAAATGTAGTCTTTAAAAGTTGTTGAAAGTATGCTATCCATTTTCAATCAGCTATATTTCTTTCACATAGTTTGAAAATTTCAGTAAACAAATATAATAGTGTATTTTGGCAGTTGGCAATTCTAATAAGTCATATTGTCATGCCTTGAATATACAGTGGAACCATGAGACTAGTTTCATTAACTCAGTGTTTTTAACATACAATTAGTTCAACACAACTTCTACAAAGCTCTTCTTCCCATAATCTTTCCAGTGATTCACATGTACAAAGTAAAATTACCCAGAGTTCCAGGTGACAAGTGAAATCCTGAGCCGTTGACTGGTGTGAGGCAGCTTGACTTAGTCTAGCTTGTGTGTCTAGCTCATTCCATACAGCACCCTTTAAACTTATAAATCTCTTTGAGTCCCACAGGGCAAAGCTGAATAGGCAGCCAGCATCTCTGCCACCAGGAGTCAGTTCTCTGGGAACTGAAAAATCATCAACTTAGCAGGAGGACTCAGGTTTTTATACACTGTGCTGAAATGCAAAGCAAGAGCCTGCTTTTAAGAACTTTGCTATTTTTTTTTATTTCATTTTGATAAGAAAGTAATTTTCATTCCTCCAGAAATTTCTGCATTTGTTTAAACTGACAAAAATAAAGAGGGCTCAGAATATATTCAAAACATTTGTATAATGCTCTAGTCAAAAGTTTATTTCTTAGTGATTATAGCTGCCTCCATATAATAGAGCCATAATCTTCTAGAATATTTAAATAATACAGCTTTATATTTGGCTATTATTAAATATGTACTCAGTTCAACAACCCAGAAATAAAAAATGCAAAACAATGATATAAGAATCATATTTATTTAGGGCTTTCCTTTAGAGATTGGATGTAATAGTAGTTTGGGTTTCTCAAAATAAAGATTGCTAAAAATGAAGCATGTGCATTTACAAAAGGAAACTCCAGATAACATTTTTAAGCCAAAGTTTGTCATTCACTGGTTTTCCCAAGAAACAACTTCTCAAGCATAGGTTTTTCCAAGATGCCCTCAGAGTTTGTTATCAGAGATGATTGTTGAAGCTTCCCTCTCCTTTGGAGCCTTCTCCTAACTTTAGTATTTTTAAAGTCATTCGGATACTTGAGAAAAAATCACAGATAGGTGTTTTGTGTGATACCCCATCAAACCGAACATATGTAGCCCCATTCCTCAGTCTACCTTGTTAGTCAAATAACTGCTTCCAAAAAGATTTGATTTGTAAAAGAAATGCAATATTTCTTGTCAATGAGGTTAAATAGGAGACAATGCCACGCCCATATCAGCAAATGAGCGTAACTTCTGATCTGGTCCACCTCTTCTGCCATTGGATAACTCTTCATTGGAAAGACTTCCAGCAACACAGTACCACTCTGAAGGGTGTTTTTCTCTTGCTCTCAGCTTTGTGCTTTACCATCTTATGATTTTTATTTATTTATTTTTGGTTGATAGGAGAGCAACAGCAAAACTGTGCAAGAAATAGCAAACGCAGAGGCATGGGCCAAGGGATCTCACTGTGTGTTCGATGTGTATTTTCAGATGCAAGAAAGGGATGTTGGAGAGGAGGAAAAGTGTGTTTTTTATTATTGTAGGGTAAACCTGACGATTCTGAACTTTGTGAATTGTCAGCTTGTTTGGGGGAAGGGTGGGTGGGTATGAGGGGTACTTTTTATAAGTAATATTTAATTTATTATTTAGAAGTGGCTTCTTTCTGGATAATTTATGATACAAAGGGAGATATGGTTGGGATCTAGGCATGGCTGTTAAAGCTGCAGTGTTTTGTATCTCAGAAGGACCACGTTAGAAATGGACTGTCCTGTGCTGAGCATGATGAAACATCCAAGCCAGGCAAAGCCTTCACTAAAATTCCACCATCTCCACCTTCTCCCTATCTGAGGGTTTCAAAGAAGATAACACCAAACCTAAAATAACTAGGATAGCAGTTTGCAAACCAGTGCTATTCTCTCAAAGGGCTTTGCAACTCAAACTATTAGTGTGATAGTGATGTGCTTATTTGGTAGAAATGGGTATACTACAGCTTTAATAGCCTTAGTGGAAAGAGAAACTCTTTGTTGTTGCAAAACACTTTTTTCATAGAAAGGTGTTTTGAGCCTACAAAGAGTCTCTTGGAATTGTCAGACTCTAGCATTGTTAACCAAATTAGAGTAGTGATTGCAATATTTAAGTGTAAATGTTGTTCTATGAGAAAGGAAGCTTGCTTACAGTTTAAAACACGATGACTGTTTCTACACACGAACTTGTATACTACTACACAAGGAAAAGGGGGTTTTGTAATCACTGTAGAACAGTCTCCTATTCATTTTTTATAGAAATGTTATTCCAATGGTGCATTTTTTGTTTAATAAATAAAGTTTTGATACAAAATTCTTTATTCACGTTATTCCTAGTAAGTGACTATTTTTCTCCAACACCCAGCTAAAATCAGTTCCAGCTGGTCTGTACCTAGGTTTGGGATAGCTACAATCAATCTTTTGTGGCAGTAGGTTGTCAGTACTTTGTCATACCTTATTACAGCCTTATACGTTTTTCTGCATACTCCCAGTTTGTATTCAATTATGGCTGATAGTATCTACACCATTTTATTGCAGCCCTGTTCCAGGCTACCGGAACTTGATTTACACGTTTGCATGGGAGAAAGAGAAAACCCAGATCCCACCTTCCATATGGCAACTAAATAATTCAAGTACTTTACCCAAAGATGAGCAGTTCTCAAC